CCCCGGTTCTTCCCCCGGCCTCCCCTGCCTTCCCCCGCCTCCTGCTGCGCCCGGTTCCCGGACGCTCCGGGCCGCGTTCTGTTGTCATTGTGACGTCACAAAGGGACGGGCCCGGGTGGAACCTCCTCCTCCTCCTCCTCCTCCTCTTCCTCCTCTTCCTCCTCCTCCTCCTCCTCCGTGACGTCAAAAGTCGGGCGGGAGCTTCCAGCGCGGCGGGGCTGCAGGGGGCGGAGGAGGAGGATGCGATCGGCCTCTGCCTTCCGCCGGGGAACGCTGCGCTGCCCTCCAGGTGAGCGCTTGGGAACCTTTCGTCCTCAAAAGGGTGCCCCCGCCTAGCTGTGTTATGATCCGTTGAGGGGTTGTGGAGTAGGGGGGGAGACGCCTCTTTTCTGCAGAAATATTTTCACTTCCTCTGTCTCCAGGTCTGCTGATGGCGTGACATTACTCCTGTGGTAGTTGGGTCTGCTCACCAAAGCTTTAGAAAAGCAAGGAAACTTCATTCAGGGAAAGCTTTGCTTTGTAGGAGGACCATGTTGTGGATTCGGCCACCTTGTCACTTTAAGTCATGTTTCATGTGTTTTCGCAGGATGTGGCAGGATGCCTTTCTGGGTGATACTGCACAGCAGAAACTGTTGCTCTTTCTGGAAACCTTGCAGTACGGGGTAGGGGGAGGGTGGGGAGTTGGGCGCTCCTCCTATCCTGTGTCAGCTCCATGCCTATTGAGTAACTTTTAGGGGACCAGATCAGGGAAGACTTGCCATTGATACCTGTGCTTGGAAGAAACACTGGACTCTTTTAAGATGTTCCAGGTTTAGTTCTTCTGAACCAGACAGCAAGAGGAAATAAATCTGAGTTTATTTCCTCTTCTGTGAAGTGGAGAAAGTAATACCTGTATTTGCTACTTTACTTTCTCTGACAAGATCATGTATGTGAGATGTGCGTGAAAGATATAAAATAGTATGCTCTTTCTGTGTAAGGTGGCATTATTACTTTAGCTGGTGGAAGGCAGCACGTTTCCTGAAATTGGTCTCAGAAGCCTTAGACGCCTGCTGAGTTGCCATTTAGCTAATATTGCTTTAGCAAAGCAGAGTTTGGGGGTGGGATTGTCGATGACAGACAGGCTTTGGGAGAAATGATTGTTATATTTCATATTAAATGACATCCTTGAGAAACTCATAAATTGCAATGTAATCCTGACTTAATTGTGCTGGGCACGACTCCCACTACAGTACCTTAAATAACAAAACATTTGCTTTTCAAAGCCCCAGTCCACTTGGACAATAAAAACAGTTGCATGTTTTGCTCTATGGGTATTTTTCTGCCATTTCCATCACTCCACTGGTTGGTTATTCCTAGGGAGAATAACAGATATGATATCCAGGGTTCAAAACCATTTGATCTGTGATGCTTTATAGCACGTATGAGTTTGAAATTAAAATCTCTGCCACATGAAGATATGATTTATGCAGTTAGCATGAAAACAAATTACCAGTTTGATTTCTAGGACAGCTCAAGCAGAATTTGTACTACTAGGCTGTAGGTTTTTTTAGGTATTTAATTTTCTGATATAAAAGTGCAGTATGATTTAAAAAAAAACTCGGAAAAGTTTGTTACAAGATTCAAGAGTGGAATTTACTATAATTACAATTACATACAATTGTAAAGAAAAAAGTAGAAATACACCAAAATATAGTGGTAGGATTTATAACCCCCCCCCACCTTGTTTTATACCCAGTCAGGTTATTTTACAGTTCTGGGGGCAAAAAGCTTGTACATGTAGTTTAATTGCTGTCTTTTTCCTTTCTTGCGTAGTTCACATCACTTGCTTTCTGCCTGTTTCTAGTAGTAGAAAACATTTCTCTTTGTCATATAAATCTAGGACAGAGTCAACTTATCAGCTATGATTATGGAAGGAATAGTGTCAAGGTAAGAGTCCAAAATGTGTCACTGAAATTTGAAAGAAAAAATAAATTATGTGCAAAAGTAATCCAATTTAAGTTATTGTTACCTGGGTTATTATTACTTTACTGTGGACAAGTATCTGACTTATGTGTCCCGCATAGCCATTGGCCTAAATAACCTACTAGAATTGTACTTAGATGGTACTTAGATGGCTGTTTCTTCTCTTATAGTTAGGTTAAACCAGTTTCCGTTGCTGGGCTAAGTGCCTTGGAAATAACGCCAGTGTAATCTTAACATATACTTTGCTCCAAATGTTATTTAAACTTGCCTTCTCTAGTAAGAGAAAATCTTTTCGAGTATATAACTGGTGTCTGTTACATTCAAAGTAGAACCATTTTCCTTTTTCTTCCTTTCAAAGATGACATGGGAAAGTCATATAAAGCTTAGTACATTAAAACACTTGGTGAAAGCTAAGCTGGAGTATTTTTAATTGAGTGGTTTGCCTTTGACCATGGTGGTCTGAGGACCCAGACTTATGACAGTTTTCTCTGAATGGTTAAAAGGTTTTGAAGTCTAAGAAATTTAGTTGTGCTATTCCTTCTAATGTTACTGACCTCCCTATCTACCCATACCCTGGTCATGAGGAAGGTTCCTGGCCACTGGACAGCCCTGGGCTGTGTGGGCCTGTGTCCCCTTTGGCTCCCACCTGTGTCAGTCATTTGTTTCCAAATCTGGTTATTCCAGTTAGACTTATTATCCCAATTACATACAGTTAAATATTACATAATCCTTTGAATGAGTGTGAAAACTTTAATTGAATGTTTTGGGAACATTTGATAAAAGTGAATTGCTAAAAAAATAAGACTGTTAAATTAGATGTGGGCCTGACATTGAAAAGACTTGGGGAAAGATCTGGAAGGATTCTGCACATACGTTGCTTTGCAAGAACCCAGTTTTTTAAAGAAGCCTTTAAAAAACCCTTTTAAGAACCAGACTTCATTTATGCCCACATTCCTTTCCCAGCAA